GATTTGGCAGCATGGTGAATTGGGAAATGTGATTTGGAAAAGAATATTGGCCTCTGTCCTTGAGGCTGTAGAAAGAGACCCTCTGTGATGCACTTGTAGCATTGTTTTGGGAGTATCTTGCTATTCTGCAGTTCTGTGGGTGAGGGAAAACCTAGGGCCAGTGACTTAAAGTCAGGAAAAAAACTATAACCGTCTATGCTGTCTTCCTTAAAAGATAGTTAAATTATCCTGCGAGATCAGTTACAATAAACTGTGGCTAATTGAAATCATAGTTCCTTGTGTAATTGGAGAGACTGTCTTTCAACACAAATACAAGCAGTCTGCTCTCACTCCTTTAAGGGGAAGGGGGCAGAAAGGAAACTGACAAATATTCATATTGTATTAGGTTTTTTAATACCCTTTAGAAGTCTTGCTATGAGGGTTTGTACTTCAGGTACAAAGTTCTTGTGTTTCTAAGTTAGAGTAATGTGGCTCTTTACAGAACCGAACTTGGAAAGCAAGCATGGCTTTGGTAACACTTTCCTGTAGTAAATTTCAAGCTGAATGTCTTGTTCTCAGTATCTCAATCCATCTGCTTTTACCAAACACTGAAAACTGTCTTGGGCATCTGCTTTTTCTCCCCTCTCTGTTGAGGAGTTGCGCTGTGTTTGTAGGATCATCTTGACTTGTTGGGAGAGAGGTGAATCTACAGAACAGACTTGTTTAAGACAAGCTTGTGATAACAAGCTTCATGCTGTTGAGGAGGTGACAGAGCTTTGAATGTCTCGATTTCATTTACAGAGAGGTCGGAACGAGGGGCTGAGCAGTGGCACTCTCTCCAAGTCATCCTCTTCAGGCATGCAGAGCTGCGGAGAGGAGGAGGGCGAAGAGGGAGCGGATGCTGTGCCGCTTCCTCCTCCGATGGCAATTCAGCAGCACAGTCTTCTCCAGCCCGACTCGCAGGATGACAAGGTAGGAGGAGGAAGTGAGGAAGGCTTCACATGTTGAGATAACCTCTGTTTGCACAATTCTTTCTTCCATTTCCAAGAGTCTCTGTAATGTACGTAATGCAGCTTTGTGGTGGACAGAAGTAATCACTGTGCCACTTTAGACAACATTAAAAGGGTTTCCTGTGGAAAGCTTCTCTATTTTAGAAGCACAAGTGCAGGAATTTTTCTGCTAGCACTTGAAATGTGGAAATGGGCCGCTTTGGGTGTTTGCAGGCCTGTTTACATCTGTTTGATGCCATATTTAGTAATTAGAATGTAATTGTTTTTATAATCATATCTTCCGGTACTGAGGTTAAAATACTATGTGCAAATAAAGTTTATGTGGAGAAATTAATGACCTTTTTAGATCATAATACAGCTTGGTAAACAGCCTATTTTGGATAGCCTCAGTTCAGGGGAAAATAAATTTCTATGTACATGCCTTAGCAGAAAGAGCTGTTCACATCAACTCCAAGGTGTGAGTTTTTTTCTTGTGGTTTTTTTCCTCCTTTTTGTCTTTTTTTGAGTGCTTAAGAAAAAGGTGTAATAAGAAATTAATATCCAAATAAGGGTAATAATTGAGCTGTTTTTTACAAACAAAGACACTTTAAAATTGAGGGTGAAAATTTTGCATCAGTAATGAAATTCTGGATGAAGATAGTAACTGCACGAAGGAGATCTTGCTTGCATATAATCTGTTTTTCTTAAATGTTATGAAGTTCATACATTGAAAGGATTTATTTCAATTTTCAACCTGGATGAAACATTTAGGGGACAAGTATCAAGCCTGGAAATAGAAGTTTTTAGAATGGAAACAGTCTGGATTTGTGCAGCAAATGTGCACATTGCTGTTTGATTCCCCTTTTTGCTGCTTAAAATTTTTAACTGTTATAATCTATAGCATTGAATATTGTTAGTGAATTTTGCGGCTGGTCACTTACTGTTCTCAGTGATGCAGATGTTATTGATAATGTTGGCAGATCCTATTTACTTTTGGATTTTTTTTCTTCCTTTTAAAAACACTGCCTTTCAGTGAGGATGTTGCTCATGCCTGAAGCTATTGTTTGTAGGATCAAAATGGCTGGCTCCTATGTTCTATGTGTATCTAATGTTTTCTGAATTGAAAAAGTGTAATATATGAGTGGGGATTTAATATATTGGGAAATATTCCTGAAACAAACTAAGCAAAAATAGGCCAGCCTTCAGACTTGAGAGAATATTTTATTGCTAATTTATCTCAGTTTGAAGCTTAAAAATTGAATAAAAATAACGTTGGCGAAAATATGTTAAAGTT